CGTCGTCAGAGTGGTGGACTGTGGGATAGCTCACGGAGCTATTAGCGTCGATTTCCATCCACACCTAGCCTAATTCGACATGGCCATGTCGAATTTAGCGCTACTCCCCTCGTCGGGGAGGAGTACAGAAGTCGAATTAAAGAGACCTCTATGTCGAACTAAATAGCATCGCAGTGTGGACGGGTGCAGGGTTAATTCGATGTAACGGCGCTAACTTCGACATAAATGCCTAGTGTAGACCAGGCCTTACAATTAGGTGTAGAGGTTACTCAAAGAAGAGAGCATTTTGTCCAGTAGTATGTGATTGTGCCTCTAGTACCTAACAAAGCTTTCCATATTGATTTTGAAATCAAGCCAAGTTTAAAAAAAACCCTAAAACATAGTGTGCAATCAGAGTTAACTGTGTAGCACCTTTTATATGTCTATGTCCAGAGAAGTTGCTAGACTCTATGCATCTGGAGAGTTTTTATGTTTCTTAGCAACACAGGTTTGTTCTACTGAAATAATGTCTTGTGCCTATTGTAGTACATTTAAATAGACATTTAGAGCCAAGTTTTATTTTTCATTTTTTATGTGAAATAGTTATACTTACAAAATAAATAATTTGTTTGGTTTATTCCAGAGACAGCATCTTTTACTATTGATTATAATCTGAATAAATACCACTGCATGAATCAGTTATAGACATGAAGTAGGACTCATTCTTTCAACACTTGTTCACATGAATAATAGAGGAAAGTTCAGGCCCAAAGTAAACTTCCTAGAAAAATTAGGTAACATGCATTAACCTTTCCAAGTTACCTAGCACAAACAGTGCAATACCAATCCCTCTGCCAAAGTTTCCATAATGATCAATTATAACAGTTTCATAACAGAGTTTCCCAAGTTAACTCACTCAGGAAATCATGATTTCTCTGATTTAAGACTTAGGTTTAAGATTAAGATTTAGGAATTCAAGGCTGCTCTGTCAGTTGATAAAATGGGGGAAACTACAGAGTGATATTTGCTAAATGGCTAGCACTGAACCTACACTGGATTAGATGGTTATAAAGTCTAATCCAGAATGGCAATTTCGATGTTCCTAATGCGATCAAGGCAGAAGTAAACAGGATCACCATTATAAAGATTTCTGTGTCCACTTTAAAAGGAGGGTCTCTTAAGAACATGAGGGCTCTTTTAGAGTACTCTCTGGTCACAGATAATCATGTCAAAAAGATAGACAAAGGTTCAACCCTTTTCTGGGTAGTCAACCAAGCAGTCCTGTCTCCTGCAGCTAATACAGATCCATGGGTTCCACCATCCCATTTCTAAGAGTAGCCTATTCAAGATGTTTAAAAGGAAGTAAAACCAAATGAAATGTATTATGCAGTTGGCAAACTGCGCATATTCTAGCATAGGGGGAAGTTTTTCTTGATCCAGCTGGTGATCAGATTATGCTAAGGCACAAGGACTGACCGTTCTTTTTATCCGATCTACTGTGTATGGGCATAAGCAACTAACACAAGAATTTTAATGCGCTTCCCAGCTGCTTCCAGGTCCTCTCAGAGCGCCTGATCTCTCTCTCAGCTGACTGCTTGTCTGGCCTTTATAGCCTTAAATGTGCTTCAGCCCTCTTGGCTGCCTGAGCCTGTGCACTTCATCTGTTCACATGCTGTCAGTATTTCAATCACTATGTGACTATATGACTTGGATGTGTGACTGAACAGGTCATTTGTATCATCAGTAGAACATTTGTGTGGTGTATTTTTGTTATTATCACTATCCAATGTCAATAAATTGTTAAATGGATTAAGAACCGTCTAACTGACAGATCTCAAAAAGTAATGGTCTATGGGGAATCATCATCGAATGGGGGTATTTCTAATTGGTTCTTCAGGGACTGACTTTAGGCACAATGCAATTCAATATTTTTGGCAACGATCTAGAGGTAAATATAAAATCAGGGCTGATAAAGCTTCGGAGAGTTGTGAATAATGATGAGGACAGGACAGTTATATAGAACGATCTGGTTCTCTTGATAAGCTGGGCTCATTAAAAAAAAAGTCGCATCTAGCAACGAAGAATGCAGGCCATGACTGCAGAGTGGGGGACTAGCTCCTGGAAAGCACGTACTCTGGAAAGGGTTTAGGAGACATATTGGACAAAAAACGGAACCAGACGCTCTTACTGCGATGTTGTGGCAAAAAGGGGCTAATGTGATGCTAGAATGTATAAAGAGGGGAATAGTGAGTAGGAGGAGAGAAGTGATTTTACCTCTGCATAGGGCAGAGACTGATACTAGAATGCGGCGTAGAGTTCTGGTGTCCACATTTTAAAAAGGATGTTGAAAAATTGGAGGGTGTGCAGTGAGGAGACCAAAAAAAAAAAGATTCTGAGGCTGGAGAGAATGTCTGACAGCGAGAGACTTAAGGGGCTCAATCTATTTAATTTATCAAAAGGATCAAGATATGATTTGATTACAGTGCATAAACACAGGGAAAAAATACCAGGTATTAAAGGGCTCTTTAATCTAACGGAGAAAGGCACAAGAAGATTCACTGACTTGGAAGTTAAACCTGGACAAATTCATATGAGAAATAAGGCACAAAATTTATTTATTTTAACGGTGAGGGTGATTAACAATTGGAACAAACTTGCAAGACAAGTGGTGGATTCTCCATCCCTTGAAGTCTTAAAATAAAGATTTTTTGGAAGGGAGTCAAATGCAGGTTTATTGGGCTCAATAAAGGGATAATGGGATGAAGTTGTACGCTATTCAGGAGCTCAGACTAGATGATCTCATGGTCCCTTCTGGACTTAAAACCTAGAAATGTATGGCTTGCTTCATTAGCAAGTGAACAGCTGCATAAAATAACCATTGAACTTCAAGGGCAGCCTCAGGTATAGCCCTCTACTCTGGAGGGGAAGAAGAGCATAAATCCCCATAACCCGATCCTCATTTGACAGGAAAAGGCATAATCACTTAACCATCCATAGATTGGTAAAGGTGGTTTTGGTTCTAGTTGTTATCCATAAATTGAGCTGAATCTACCAGGTACCAAAGTTTGGGTGACTCATTGATGAATAAAAGACAGATGCCCTCAACTGGAACAAGGTCATAGTCTTTGCTAGCTCTTCAACGTGTTTCCTTCTGCCAGCCAGCATGATCTAGGTTTCCCACAGATGAAGCCTGAACCACAACCCTGAGCTTTTTATTCACACCTAAAATTTCACCCATTCAGAGTATATTGTGGTGAACAAATTTATGCGCAGGAACATTTGTGGTAACAGCAAGCCATAAGTTTTGGAGAATATTCACAGAGAGCGAATGTTGTATATATTAACATGAATATTTAGAGCATAAACCTGATTTGAAGAGTTTTGCTTGTCCAATCAGTTAACAGAAACATGCCATGAGATTCATATGTCCCAGGAAAACTAACAACTTGAATTTTCAATTTCTAATACCCAGTACACCCAAAAAGCTGCTCATTGAACAATTTACAAACCAAGGGTTATTTCTGGAAATTATTTGTATAATGATGGTTTTGAGAAAAATGTAATCAGCTCCTAGACAGTTTACAAATATATAGTCTGAAATTCATATAATAGATTCACTGCTAATTATTCTCTCATATCTACCAGCTACCCATCACAAAGCTTGGATTTTGAAAAACGCCCATGATTAAGTTTAAAATGCTCTTTCAGTTGTCAACCTTAATAAATATTAATGAATATGGAGATCAAATATTTTAGTGTCTTTTAAAACTATGTTCTAAATCTACCTTAAAACAGGAAACATGACATGTTTGACATACAAGTTACTTTACTATGCTAGAAAATCGCTTTGCAAAAATCATTCTTTATTGAGCACTTTGCAATACATTTAAAATCCATCTATTTTAACAATTGGCAATGGCCTTGGTGCATGTTAAGAAAAAGCACTCTAATAATGATGAAACATGCAATGTAAGGATCCCTATACAATATGCTGTCCTCTCAATATTAACTCCAGTGTATATTGATAACTTAAGGGTAACACTCATTACAAGACTGTTGTAATTATCCCAAAAAACAAACATTGCAAACTCTGAAATTCAGAGTTAAGGTTAAACATAAAATAAATCCAAATAGGTTAAAGTATGGAAATGCATAGTTAAGACACCCAAAGAACTTTAACTCTGCTCTGTGATGAAAACATGGGGTCGGCAGGAAATGAATATCTGATCTATGTTTAAAAATCAGGTAAATCTAATCTGTGATCACAGATAATAAAATGCCTTAAATCATAATTGTATGGTTATTGCATGACATCACTACATAACAGAACTAAAGTTTAATTTAACTTATTTCAATTACTGGCTATATTTTACAATGAATTTAACCTAGACTTAATTTAACCCAGTCCTCCTTATGAGGGTACACAAATGTGTTCTCTTTTCTACAAACAGCAATTCTGCCTTTAGAGGACTGGATGGTTCAGGGGACTGGTAATGGGATACAGACTCAGTTCTGGGACATCAGTGACTCCAGTGGAGGCTGGTGATGGGCCAAATTTACTGGCAGGGCAGAGTGAGGAATGGTGAGCAGCTTCAGTGCTGTAGCTGCTCTGGGGACAGAGAACTTCAGTCTCCAGGGCATGATAGCAGCAAGTTACATAAGGAATTAAATTGATTCACTAATTTCAATAAATTCTAACATGTACAAATACTTCACAACACTAGAGCTGCTCATGTAATTTACCTGGCTTGCAAAGGTGAAGCGAACAGAACCCAAGCACAGAACTAAGGAAAATGAGGACATCGCAGGCAGCTATAAACTGGATCCAAACTGGACCTTCCTTGGTAGAGAGAGACAGAGGTAGTAAAACATGGAAGAGAAAACCCTCCTCCTTCCTGTGCTAACCCTCTAAAAAGGGAGACAAGGTGTTCAGGAGATGACTTCTCTCCTAGAGCAAGAGAGCTGAATAGGTGGTAATGAATTTTCCTCCTGGTAAAGACAAGACAGACAGATTGATTTACCTTTGTTCCCTGGTAGAAGTCATCTTTGGATTGGGTGCCCATGAAGGGGAACTGCATGTGTGTGTGGGGATCAATCCCCCCAGGCAGCACCAGCTTGTTGCAAGCATCTATAACTCGGAGCCCAGCAGGTGCCCCAAGCTGCAGGTGTGGTCCCACTGCCCGCACTATTCCATCCTCCATGTACACATCAGCCAGCTGCGAGTAGTCATCATTCACCACTCTCCCCCCTTTGATCAAAATCCTCTGCTGTAGGGGAGCCATGGCTTTTGCTGCAGGCTCCTCGCAAATCTGCCCAGCAGTGGAGCCTGAGTTCTGAGAACAGCAGGAGAAGCTGTGGCACTATTAGGCACCAGGCTCAGGCTTCTCTTCTGTAGGAATAGAGCCCCAGCAAGAATACAGACTGGGAGAACGAGAACACTAGGCATACATTCCTTTGGAATGCAGCAGACAGATTCCTGGTGGTTCCTCTAAAACTGATCCCAGCAGTTCCTCCTGAAAGGTGCTTTGCTGCCCACTCTCCCTCACCAGTCTGCTTCTCTCAGCATGTCAAGTTATTTACATGTGGCTCCCAAATATAAGTGACATACTGGTATTTATATCTCTATCAGAGGACTCTCCTCCTGCACCACTAACGCCTCCCACTGCCCCCAGTTCAGCATGTAATATCTGGTGATCACTACTCTGAACGGTCAGAGAAAGCAGGGGTTTCACCAATTTCTTTTAAAATATTTAAATAGTGACTGTGGGGCCACAGTTTCAGAATAGCTCAGCTCGTGTTTAGGCAACTAATAAGGGGCACATTTTCAAGAGTGCTGAGCCCTGATGCTCCATCTATGATGCTTATAGCCAGATTTTCAGAAGTGAGCAGTGTACAACATGCTGAGCTATTTTGCAAACCTGGCCACTTACTTTGCTGTCTAAATGGGAGCTGAGCTCTTTAAAAAGCTAGTGTTTAGTGCTGGGGTGATGGCTCTGGAGTCTGTCTTTACTCAGATCAGGGACAGCACAAGCAGCAGCAGTGCAGGCTTCACTCCCACCCACATGGTAGGCTTCGGCTGGATTAAGGCAAACCTAGGCCCCAGGCAAAGTAACAATTAGGATCACCTCACCACTGCACAGGGCTCCCTTCCAAACCTAACTTGCTCTTGTTGCTCCTCTTTACGAAGGGACCTCCTCATTCCCTGTAGGGTCACGGGGGACTGGCAGTCCCACAGAGCCCATTTATTGGCGGGCATGGGGGAAGACCTTCAACCTCACAAATCCCTATGCTCTGGGAAAACTCTTTCACCCCCATACAAGGACTACTGCTTGGATGGTGGAGTAGCTATCTAAAGGTTTTCTGCTTGACTGAGGAAAGCCCACACAGAGCTGTCTGGATGGTGGAGGGCCCTTCTCCCAATATTGCCTGAAGGAGGCCTGCTTCCCCACCTCCCCACTCCAAACCCATCTTTCTTGTCCCGCAAAAAGATCAGGAAGTGGCAAAGTGGTACCAAGCTGCCCCCTTGCCATTCTTCCCCCAAGGTAGTTGCCACGTGTGGGAGACTTTCACTGGGGGCAGGGCAGTCAGGAGTCCTCCTCTTCTCCCCTTTTGGAATGGCAGCTTCCAATGGAGGACATCACTTAAACGGAAGGAGTTCCATTCTCCTGGATTCAAAATGTGAATGGCTTGTTAGGAAGGCATAAAACTAGGGAGGAAAGGAGAAAGTTACAGCTTCATGCTGGAGGTGGAGGATGGTTAACACCTCACAGAATCAGGTCCTAAAAGAAGAAGGGGAATGAAATTAGACTGAAAAATGTCTGCGTTATTTGTAAATATCTGTCCAACAAGAAAAATAAAGGGAGTTTGGCCAGTGAGAAAGCAAAGACGACCTTGTAAAATAGCTGTTTACAAAGCACACATTAGAACACTTGGATCATTTTAACACATAACACAATTACCCTCTCCTGCTAATAGGTTTCCTAGGATGTCAAGGTAACTAGCTAAGAACTTAAACCACTGAGAATTATTTTTCAGTTATCAATGAGAAGTGCAGAAGTGATTGACAAATAGAATAATGCACCTTGAACCAACAACCCACATTTATATCTAACTCCACATAATAATAAGGAACTAGCTAATAAGCTGAGCCCCGACAAAGAGGGGGAGCACTGCAGATGTGGTAAGTCCTTCATGCCAGTTCCACCGGGCCCAGACAACCTGTCTGCCAGTTAGAAAGGGATTTGATCTGATCTCTACTGCCTCAAACAGAGGACTGTAGCATGGTGCCTGCAGGATGAAGAAAAGAATCTAAATCCCACTGGCTTTCAATGAGGCACACGTTTAAGTGCCTAAGTCACTTAGGTGCTTTTGAAAGTTTTACCCTTGGAGCTAAATATATTGCTGGCAGATATCGAAGCTCTCTCCAATTATTTAGTTCACATAGACAAACAAGAAAATCTTGTACCAGCAACGTTTACATAAACTTGGTAAATGTTTGATATGGTCATAGTGCAACAGCACCTTGTTGGATTGGCCTGAATTACCCCCACAGGATAGAAGTACCTCCCACTGGACCCCCTGGGAAGAGAATTCATCATCATCTCCTGTTCCTGATGTCTTTCTCCTAGGGTGAGATTTTTATTAAGCATCTTTGCCTTCCAGTGGGACTTGTTCTCCTACTTCCTTTGAAAATCCTTCCCCAAAGATTTTTCCAAACTTCCCTTCACTCAATTTAAAAATTGTCTTTATTATATAATCAGTACTCGACCCTGTACTGCGTAAAAGAGTTTGTTGTTGAGCAATGTTTGCTCATACTACACTCTTACACCATAATTCAGTGATTTGAGAGACTAAAAATAATTTGTGCCCTAGCATTTTTACTTCTCTGGAGCCACAGAAATATTGACAAGGTAGACATGATGGAAGGAGAGATTTAAAAGCCTAACTTGAAACAGACTAATGGTTTTATGGTCAGGAACAAAGTAAGTATTCTCAGGAAACTATACCTAGACTCTCTTGCATGACAAATACAGAGAAATGTTAACAGGCAGAGAGATTATGCGTTTTAGAGACCATCTTAATTGCATGATCTCAAAAGCGAAGGCAAACCCAACCTAGATCTATCTTTTACCAACAAGGAGTCAGTTGCTGTACAACATTCAAACGTAGTCTGAGGAATGGGTTTATATTCATGCAATATTCAACATAGTCTAAGGAATGGGTTATCTAGGGAGGTGGTGGAATCTTAGAGGTTTTTAAGGCCCGGCTTGACAAAGCCCTGGCTGGGATGATTTAGTTGGGGTTGGTCCTGCTTTGAACAGAGGGTTGGACTAGATGACCTCCTGAGATCTCTTCCAACCTTAATCTTCTATGAGACGTGAGTGTGAGACTGCAAGAATGTAGTTTTGTAGGATTTAATAAATCTAGTGAATATAGTACAGCCTCAAAGCCACTTTAAATTAAGGTGCAACATATTTCAATTCCTCTGAAAGAGTTGCCTCTTCCTCCCCATCATTGTTTATACCACTGTAGTATTAGACTCCCATCCATTTCCTTGGATAGAACTAGATATGTTCATGGAGGATAGGTCCATCAATGGCTATTAGCCACGATGGGAAGGGATGGTGTCCCTAGCCAACAACTCAGGCTCAAACTGGCTAAAAACAGAACTCTTACTCTTCCCCACAAGCCTTTCCCACGACCTCCTTTCTTGATCACTGCCACTCAGTCCTGTAACCTGGGCGTTATCTTCAATTAAGACTTCGCTAGGTCTTCACGTCCAGACTACGTGTAAGTATTGCAGACTTTTTCTGCACAACAGCTCTAAGATACAGCCTTTCCTATCCGTCAACAGACCTAGAATTCTTGTCCAGGTTCTCATAATCTCACATGTTGGCTACTGCAACATCTTTCTCGCTGGCCTTGACAAATGCAATCTTGTTCCACTGATTGCAGCAGCATTCTGAATGGCTAAGATATTTTTCCTAGTCCATCACTTTGACCATGTCACCCCCTCTCTTTGCATCCTTTCACTGACTCTCTCTTCTCTATCATTTCAAACATAAGCTACTCATGTTCTTTCAAGGCCCTATCCCCATTCTATCTATTCTCTCAGTCACAGTATTGAAAAGTTGACCCCTGCTTCAAATCAGCCCATGTCAGCCTTCATCGCCCATTTGTTCAATTCTCAAGCAAGCATCTCTGTGCTTTCTCCCATGCAGCTCCTCACACTTGCAAGTTCTCCACATCCACAAAACAAATTCCTCCTCAAAAACTCTACTTTGCTGTGAGGCCTACAACAACAAAAACAAACAAACAAACTTGAGAGGCTGAGATCACTGCCTCTCATGCTGACCAATACGGTCTGTTTGCTTGTACTCCATCTGTCTGCATCCACCTGTTAGCTCTTGGCTTATATTTAGACCGTAAGCTCTTCGGGGCAGGACCTGACTTTTTTCCCCTGTGTTTTTACAGTACCTAGACACAATTAGATCCTGGTCCATAACAGGGACTCCTAGGTGGCACCATCACCAGTACTCCTTCCCCTTATCCCATCATCTGGAGTTGGATCAAGCATCTGACATCTTAATCTGCCCAAAAGCAGCACTAAGGTCCACCTGCTTACCATCTTCTTTGATTCCATTGCTTCCTCCGCTTTACTCAGGATCTCTCTTTCCTACCACCCTCTCCTGCCATGCTATCTTCATTATGTCTTCTACATTCATGCTCTATATATGTCCAACTCAGCCAAGTTAATAGGACAATACTGATCAGGGAAGAAATCAATATATGTGAAAGGAAATGGGCATATGATGAATTTGTGGTAAATGCTACTAGTAACACAATTCTTAGAATTAGGAAAGGTTCCACAGTTGATTAAGGATAGACATATTTTAAATTGATACCGTCCAAACTGAATTTAAAGAAATGCAGGAGAGAGATCCAAATGTCAGACTAAGTGTCAAAAGTGTTTGGTGCAATTAGAAACCTAGGATCTATGACACTACCTCCTACTCATGACATGTTATTTAAGTAAAACATGTGGCATCTCAAAATCCTTATGTTTCATTTGCACTGTCATTACCCATGTTTGACCCAGATAAGCATGTATTTGATCAAAAAGCTGCTGTCCATGCCACATGTCACCTAGAAGACATTTACAAGGAATGACAAAGTACCTCCGCTGGTGGTGTATCAAGACACTCAAAGATGGAAAGTCACCCTACTATGTGGCCAGGTGGAAGGGTACCAAGAGAACCTAGTGAAAGTCAACATGACATCGGTATTATGTCCGGTGCAACTAACCGAATTGGTAGGTGCTGGTGACCTACAATGGAGAGGCACAAAATTGTATAGTAACTAATCACAAAGATTTTTATTATACTCAAATTAGGTGTGTGGTCACAACTCCAAACTTGTTTTAAGCCCAAAGTACATATGATTGTTGGACACATGACAATCTCTCCTATACCTGGATTTGAAAACAAGAATTATTACAGATTCAGATTCTCAAGATCTACTCAGAAAAGTACCCCAATCCTTCATGCAGATACGCCATCACTAGATTTACATCTTAAACAGAAAGGAAAAATTCACATTTAATTGAAATTAGTAATACCATGGATCAAACAGAATAAACACTGAATAAGTTATTTGATGGAATAGATAAAGTATTGACCACCCGTGTAGGGATGGAAATTGGTTGGAAGGGGTAGATTGTTGTCCACAGTATCCTCACTAGGGCATTATTTGTGCCTTATGTTACATGGGAGGAAAGATTAGGACATTAAGTCAAGAAATGCCTAGGAACCAGCCACATTCAGTCCAACCTATTTCCATTCCCCTTCTAGCCACAGTTAGTTCACCGGCAGCATCCATAGCAACTGTAGAGAGGAGTATTTATGAAGAAATGCATAACAAACTCACATCAAGTACCTGAACTTCCATATGCTTTGTATGTCGTTAACAGCCCATAGAAACATTATGTCAACCACCCAAGCTTCAGTACAAAGAAACAGCCAGCCCCCAATAAGAATAGGATACTTACATATAACAAGTAAGTTTTAAGTTACGTTTGTATTGAATTATAGTGTTTGCTATGTATTAACATATAATGTGAGAGATGAGGTTATTTTTCCATAATATTCACCCCATCAAAGGTGTGTGTGTGTGGGGGGCACGTATAGGACATACAGAAGAATAACAGTTACAGAACAGATCAGTAACGGTTTTTAATTTGAGTGATTGAACATGCCAATTTAATTTCAGGTGACTCAAGTTCAATTAGGAAGTAGAATTGGAGTGTCCCGAAATAATGACTGAAGGACTACAGGCCAAATCTGGGATTGTCTGTATTCTGTTGAAAGATGGTTTGAAGAGATGCAAAAGTATGTACTGATGGCCAAGTTGCAGATCTACAAAATGTCCTCCATAGGAACTTGAGCTAAAAAAGCTGTAGAAGCTGCTTGTGATGTTATTGAGTCTGCTTGGTGGAGATACACTGGTTATGTTGTAGCACAAATGCATGAAGGAGGAATTCCATGACAAGATTCTTTAAGGTGACACTGGAAGACCCTTCATCCTGTCCGCGACTGTGATAAACAGTTGTGAGGATGACCTAAATGGCCTAGTCCAGTCCAAATAAAAAGCTAACGCTTTCTTGACATCCAGCATATGGAGTCTCTTCTCATCCTTATGAGCGTGAGGTTTAGGAAAGAAAGCTGGTAAGTATATTGCCTGATGGATATGGAAAAGATATGGTGAGAAATTTTGGATGAGAGCATAAGTATATTTTGTCTTGTAAATGACTGCATATGGGGGGTGGGTGGGAGGAGTAAGGGGGTGTCCAGACACCAGGGATCTCAATTTTCCTGTTATCTTTGCAGAGGTAATTGCCACCAGAAAAGCTACCTTCATTGAAAGATGAAGCAAGAAGCAAGTAGCCAGTGGTTCATATTAGCCAATTAGCTTTGTTAAGGCCGGGTTTAGTCCCAAGGGGATATAAGCAGCCTAGACCCTTCAAGAACTTGAATGACATGGGATTGGAGAAAAGTGAGTGATTATCAATTGGAGGGTGAAAAGTGGACATAGCTGCTAGGTGAACCCTGATGGCACTAACAGAAAGATCATGTTCTTTTGGCTACAACAAATGGTCCAGAACATGCTGTATAGGAGCTAAGAGGAGAAACACCTTTTTGCTGAGTTCATAAAGAGAATTGTTTCCATTTCAACAGATAAGTGCATCTAGTAGAAGGTTTTCATGAGGATGCTTTACATATCCTCTGAACAGACCTCCTTCTGAGACATTAACCATGGAGCATCCAGGCTGGAAGATGAAGAGCAACTGGGTTGAGGGGAAGAAGGTCCTCTGAAATCAGGTCTGGTTCTGGTAATGTCAGTAGAGATCTAGTTGAGAGGCTCAGCAGAGTGCAAAACCAATGCTGAGAAGGTCATGCTGGGGCTAGGAGGATCATGTAAACGTGATGCTGATTGACTTTTAACACTAATCTGGGAATGAGTGGAACCAGAGGGTAAGCATACATGAGTTTGTCTCACCAGGGCAACAAGAAAGCATCCATTAAGACCCTGAACTGTGACCTGCTCTTGAACAAAATTGCTGACACCTTTGTTGTGAAGTAACAAACAGTTGCGCGTATGGATGGGGAACTCCCTACCAGCACCAGACTTAAAAAATGAGTCTCACTATATCTGGCTGGAGAGACTACTCATGATGACTGGTGAAAAATCTGCTCAAGTAGTTTGCAAGACTATTCTGGACCCCCAGAAGGTGGGAGGCTGAGATGAGTCACTTTGGGGATGCAAAACTCCCAAAGCAGCATCACCTCTTGGCACAGAAGACCTGATCTGGCCCCTCTGTCTGTTGCTGCCACACTGTCCATAGGAACTAGTAAATTCGCTCCCTTGATATGGGGGAGGAAAGCATGACAAGCTAGATGAATGGCTCTCAACTGTTTCACATTTATTGGGAGAGCTCAATCTTGGCCAGTCCAGAGACCTTGAGTCTGTAGATTCTCCAGGTGGGCTAATGAACCAAGGACAGAAGTGTCTGTAACCAGAGTCAATGAGGGTTGTGGGGGAACGAAGGGAACTCCCACACATACGTTAGTTGGTCCATCCACCAGTTCAAAGAGGCTAAGACTCCTGTGATCACTGGAACCAATATGTCCATTGGGTGGAAAAATCTAGGAATAAATACACTGAGCTTAATGAACTCTGCAACTTCCTGAGACGAAGCTTGGCATGCTGAATCACATATGTACATGAGGCCATGTACCCCAAAAGTCTGTCAGTTCTTTACAGATGTAGTTGGATGAGCTTTTAGGTGAGATGGCCAACAGCCTTGAATCTGGTCTATGGAAAGGAAAGCCCTGGCCACTGTAGAACTCATGACTGTTCCTATAAACTATTTTCTGAACAAGGGAGAACATTGCTGATCAATGGGGAAAGTCAATCCCAATTGTATGAAGATGGACTGAATTCTGGGCCACACTGAATTCTGCCTGGTACCCGGACCAACCTCTCACCAACCAGTTGTCAAGGTATGGAAACACTTGTACTCCTGTTTTCCTTAGGAATGCAGCCACCACTGCCATGCATTGTGTAATACCTGCAGTGCCACAGACAGGCCAAATGGCAGGACTGTAAACTGATAGTGGGATTGATTAACCATAAATCTGAGGAATCTCCTATGGATTCGATAAATTGCCACATAGAAATATGCACCCCTCAAATTGAGAGCATACCAGTAATCTGGATCCAGGGAGGGGATAATGGATACCATTCAAAATGGTCTCTATGTATTTGTTCAGGTCTCAATTCTAGAATGGGTCTGAGATCTCCCTTTGCCTTTGGAATCAGGAAGTAATGTGAATAAAATCCTTTTTCTCGGTGGAGAAGATCCTCCTCTATAGCTCCCAAATGAAGAAGAGACTGGACCTCCAGGAGGAGGGCAGGCTCATGAGAGTGGTCCCTGGAAAGGGAGAAGGGAGGAATTGAAATAAACTGAAGGGTGCATTCCAGTTCCAATCTGCTTAGACTACACCAATCGGTGGAAATACGGCCCCAAGCATATCAGTGGAATGAACAGTCGGAAAAAAGGTGCATATTGGTAAACCAGCCTGCAACATGGCAGTCAAACCAACTGGCATTTCTGGTCTGCCTAGAAACACTGATGGATGAAAACTGAGAAGGTGTAAGTCTCCTATGAAGGCCTTCTCCTTCCTCATAGACTGACCAGGCTGCCTGGGTGTAAAGGGGTGATACCACGTATATGTCTGAGGGTGCAATGGTTTATTTTTAGGGAGAGGAGTACAAATCCCTAATAACTTCAATTAGAGTCTTAACGAATTAGAAACTTCTAGTCAGTCTATTGAGAAAAGAGGGACAGACCTTCAAAAGATCCTTAACAGTTTGTTGGAGCTCAAGCAGCAGACCCAATGATTGAAACCACGAACACCAATGCATCATAATGGCAAACACCATGGCTGTGGCTGCTGAATCCACCCTATCCAATGCTGCTTGGAGAGAGATTCTAGCAGCCAGCTTACCTTCCTCCAAAAGAACTTCTGCCTCACCTCCTCTGGCACTTTGTCCATGACAACATAGACTTTATTCCACAGGGAGAAATCATACTTAGACAGCAAAGTGCTTGCTGGTTCAAGATATGAAAATGCAGGCCAGCAGTAGACTAAACCTTTCTACCGAAAAGGTCAAGTCTTTTTGCTTTGTTTGATTTGGGGTTGATGCGGGCTGACCCAAGCTTTCCCTCTTTTTCACTGTCAACAAAACCAACAAGCCAGGGGAGGAAGAGTATACAAATGCTCATGACATGAGAAAGAATGTGGTACCTCCTTTGGCTCTGTTGGCGGCAGAGATGAAGGGTGGGCTTCAGTGTGGCCTCATTTACAGGCAGAGCCAAATGGGAAGGTATGGCCTATGCCAATTTGTCCACCTATCTATAGG